AAGTGCGAACGAGAAATTCCAATTTGTTTCTGCCACACCGATAGAAATTGGAACAAAAAATAATAAAATTAAAAAAAAATAAATAAAATTGTTTCAAAAGTGTGGACCTTAGTGGGCGTGACAGCCTCTAGAAACAAATTATGTCTATGTCTGTGGAATCTGCATACTTAATCTCAGATTACGAAGATCATAAGGACGGTCATGGCCAGATCGACTCGACTATTGATCCTGATCAAAAATATATATACTTTATATGGTCGAAAACGCTTCCTTCTACCTGTGACATACGTTTCAACGAATCTAGTATACCCTTTTACTTTACTAGTAACAGGTTTAACAATAAGTCCACAACACATACAAATCCAGTAAACTTAACTTTCCGATGTCATGCAGATATGCCCTTGACTAACGGCCCCATTAGAAGCCATAAATTAACTATTTAATTATAACGTCGACTTCAATGGGCAAATTAATTAATACATAATTTCAAATTAAATGCTGTCATTTCATCAGGGTTAATTCTCCGGCAACATGCAACATGGCCAACAACAAAGCCATAAAAATGTGCCACACAGGAGTGCATGAACTTTAAAGCCGGAATAATACGAATTTATGGCCAAATAATTGCAATCTCATTAGGACACTCGGCCGGCAAACCGAAACACGGACATGACACCAGCTCCAACCGGGCCAATTTGCCATGTTAAAATAAATATTCGCATTTTGTGAAATATTTAACAATAATTGAGCGTAAAATAATCGCCCAGCCCCCAGCCCCCGGGCCCAAGTCCCCTGCCCCTCTGCTCCAGCGGAGATAAAGCCGTGGAAGAGCCCAGACACGGTCAGCTTCGATACTGCGCTCCCAGCCAGCAACACCCTGCATCCTGCATCCTGCATCCTGCATCCTGCGACCAGCAGGCAGCTCCCAAAGGCCAAGTGCGTTAATTGCAGTTGCCGTTGCACAGGACACGGATTGCGGCGACAGCGACAATTGTAATTAAATAGACACCGCACAGGACCTCTCCCCACTCTCCCCACTCCCAGTGCGCCAGCCCTGCGTCGTCCCTGGTGAAGTGTAAAGGGATGATGGGAGCGACGGCCAATCGGTTGTGCGGAATGGAAGTGCCAGGATAAGGATTCACCGACGATTTCAGACCATATGCCATAACGTGCCGATTATAAGTAGATAGGCGTGAGGCACTTTCTTTTTGACAATCTAAAGCCTTCGAAGGTCATTTTAAAGACATTCATTTTCAAACTTAAATGACAATGTAATTTGAAGGACCAGTGTGTGCTCTCCTCTGTTGATCAATAAGCCCCACTGTGCAGTCGTGTTGGCCGTTTATTGAAAGTTATTGAGATGTTGGCATTAATTTTGCATGTGCGCGTAAGTGGAAAATAGAACGCCGACTATTTTGGAGCGCGTTTAACGAGCTCCACCGCTTTAATGCTAATCTCGTATAAATAAACAACATTTCGGGCGAATCGATGACCAGGCCATTAGGCCAATTGCTGGTCATTGTCATTTGGATTGCAGCAAATTCGAATGAATTGCGCGATAAAGAGGCCCCGCCAGCCCCATCACCATTCCGAGTGTTTGGCTTATTTGCGAATTTTGTTGACACTCAGACCTCCCCAATCGCAAACGGAACAAGCAATCAAGGAGCGGCAGCAGCTTAGCATACTTCCGCCAAGGATAACAGGAGACGCCCAAGGATGCCGGCGGCGGTCGCTCGCCTTACAAGATTTTATTTACACCTTCTGCGAAAATGTTTACACTTCAACAGGCAGCGGCAATAAGAGGAGGAAGCCGACCCCCGCCACGCCCACCGCTCCTCGGCGAAATGCTGAAATGAGCAATATGTAAACCTCCAGGATGCCAACGGCAGATCCCCAAACAATTGAAAGTGGATTTCCACCTGGCGAAAAATTACTCAAACTGAAAGCTAAAAAAACTCATAAAAATAGGGAAACTGCTAACGGCCCTTGAATAATTCCACGACGTAAGGGGGATGCCAACTAGGACACGGAAGAGAAGCCATAAGGAGCGTTGTCATGGCGTAAATTTATGTAAAAATTTGTAGCAATTGCAATAAGTTAGTCCACGCCTTCCTCACTCCATCGCCATCGCCATCGCCATCGCTATCGCCGGCGGCACTAAGGAGCATAAAATTTGCGTGCGAGACCAAATAAATTCTTTCGATTCCAGCCAGTTTTTATGCGCATTTTAAGTGTGGACCGAGGCGTCGTGGGACCTCCGGGGACTCCCAGCTGAGTTTGTAAGACCAGGGATATCACTTTATTTTAAATGCATTAAGAACTTTGGCAAAAACTGATTACGAAATTCGCTCAGCCTTTGTTTGCCGAGCCCTTCATGATGTCTGAACCCGAGTCAGAGATGCGATGCCAGGACTGTGGAAATTAACTCTCAGCTGGCAAATGCCTCGGAGTGCAAATATTGAGCAACGTCGAATGTTTTTCACCGCCTCAATCTCCTCAAAACTCACTAGCCCAAGGAATCCCAAGGAATCCCAAGGAATCCCAAGGAAGCGGAGGACTCTATAGGATTCACTTGGGAAACTGTTGCCCACTGTCGTCGCCTGTTATTTTTGGCAATCTGTTTGTTTGTCGATTGTCTGTCAGTTATGCTACTTATGCCTCTTTCTTTATTCTATTCCCATCAAAAGTCCCTCGGCTCGGCCTGATTTAATAAGAATCCTTTTCCCCCGCAATCCACTTTTTCCTCGCAATTAACATAATTTTATGAGTGGATTTTCATAGTTGAACAATCTTCGGCCCGCGGCATTTGCGAAAACTTTAAATTTCAATTCACTTAAGCTCTTGTGGGGGAAGAAACTTTCGCCAGGCCATTGAACCCAGGACGGTCACAATTTCGCCATAGGTCTCCGAATATACAAATATCCAATTGATAGACCCACAGAGACTTCAAATATAGTTTAACACCCTTTCCCCTTTCTTTTTGCCGACAGTAATTACCACCCGAGGGCGTCATTAGCATTCCACTTGTGTGCGGTGCAAATGCTGTGATTTCGATTGCTGATCGCCGACCAGCGAATCCGAACGGACCGTGCTAACCCACAGATCCGAGACCGAATTCACTCGATTTCGGGGTTAAGGTCTTGGGAAGACCCTATTAAGATGTAGCAGGCGTCGCTGCACGAAAGAGTTATGATCTAACCGAGATAGAAGACTTCGCGGTAAATCATGGCTACCGGGGGTCGTCGAACCCACATAATCATAACTGGCTTCTGTCTGTCATAATTGCCAAGAATCTCTAATTGCGCCTGGGAATTATTGCCCGCTCACGTGCAACTCATCAATATTCCCCACTTCCAGCGATCGATAAGCTACGCGTATCTAACCCAATTTTGCAGTGCCCAATTCGCGTTCTTTTGTTGGGAGCGATCGAGCATTCGGACTAGCTCAACTGAATCTATTTTCTGGCACAATGTATGCGCCGGTTATTCCAGGTTCAAGAAGAACTCTATTTAAATGCAATTTGGAAACGGATTTTAACCGCCAGCAATAGAATTGGGTTTTATTTTGGCACTTGGCACCTGATGTGAATATGAGATTTGGGCCCACTAAAACTGAACCCCCGCCCTGGAAGCCCCAGTCCAAGAACCCAAGTCCATCTGCGACAATGTGACAATAATAATTGATAACCTTAAAGTCGAAAAAGTCGAAAAGCGAACTCGCTTCCAATTCATTCGGTGGACAAACGTCGAAGGTGAAGCGAACCAAATGAATTCAATAAAAGTCACTCAAATGTCGATAATTGAAATGCGTACACAAGACCAGCCACAGCAAATGCAGAAAATAAGCACCTCAACGGCGCAGAACAGCAGGAAAATTAACATTTTTATATAACAAATTAAATTGGACAATTCGACCGAATCGAAAGCTGCATAAATTTCATTTGCAGCCATCCGTTGTGGGAAGGACATCAGCTGGGCAGTGGGATATGAACGCTTTCGGCCAACTCGACAAGCTGCTAGCTGCTAGCTCCTAGCGACAAACCTGCGAGTTGTTGAACCCACTGGCCAAACGTATCTATTATTCAAAGTAACGCTCTGACGTGTACTGGTCGCGCAATTAAGTTCGCGCCCCGAAATTAAGTACTGAACGGGAATTTCAAAGGGGCCGCGCTCTTCTAAGTTATTGCACTTTCCTACTGGAGATTTATAGCGCGATGCGAGCTCGCTTAGATATATGATGTGGGTAGAAATTTTGCTTATTTCCCTCTCATCGGGTGACTCACGGGCTTCAACGCGACTTCAGCTGCTGTCAACGACTCTCGTCGCGAGCGATGTGCAGTGCATCCTTAATTACGGATTCGATGGGCAGGGATGCGGGATGCCAGGAGTGCCCCTCTAGGACTGTGCCCCGCGAAAAATGTTAAATATTCGCAAGTTTTTATTATCGCGCTCAAAGTTGTGGGAAAGTTCCTTCCCTGCAGTCGTACGCCTTATTACGTGGCCTGTTTGAGTAATTTGAGATAGTTAAACAAGGGCCAGGCATGCGGCTGTGCACTGAGGGAAAATGAATTGAAGAATAAGTGCACTGCCAATTCAAGAGCTGAACGACGCTAGTGCAAGCAGATCGCTCCAGATCTCGGTTGGCAGATGTAGCTGTGGGACCACCTCCCCTACTGGTATCAGCCCAATCAACTCGACGGAATATGCATCTCCGCTGTGCTCCACACACTCCCTAAATCATTGTCGTCTGTTGCTCATCAGCAGCCCCTCCGACGCCATTATCATCGTCATCAATTGCGCCGCCGGTGGCTGCCTGCAGACAGCTTGTCACCGTCGGGTAAACATGCGAATTTCGCAGTCGAGCAGGCAAACACGTGACAAGCGGCTAAGGAGGATTGCTGGGGGCGGTTAGATGGGTGGATAAGGCGAGGCGACAATGACGACGTCAATGGTGCGACAAAAGGCAGCTTGAATACTAAAACCAGTAAAACAGGCAGTGTTGGACGCGCAGCAAAGCTTTATTGGATCTCCGCCGAGCAGGAGATACCATGAGGAGCATGTGGGCGTATATCTTAGCCGAGACTGAACCGCTTCAGGTTGTCGAATCCCTTGGACTTGTCGATGCGGCCGTAGAGGGCCGTCCGTGCGATCATGCCGGTCTTGTGCGTCGAAACCAGCATGCCGAAGCGGAACTTGGACTCCGGCAGGAAGCTGGGCAGCATCTCCTCGTCCACCTTGTAGTTGGTCAGGCCGTAGGTGCCGCTCCGGATGGGGCACTCCTTGAAGAGGGTGCCGTGCTTGAGCAGGTCATCATACAGTACGCGCAGCAGCGGATCCGAGTTGCGCTGCTTCAGGACCTTGCAGAAGTCGAGAGTACGGTTTAACAAGGTGGAGTAGTTGCCCTTGTCCGTCTCCAGAGCAAAGTCTATCAACAGCTGCACGTCGTCTATGTCCTGGTGCATCTTTATGTCGAGGTTCAGATTTGACTCGCCCGAATCGTTTTGCAGATCCACCTTTATGTCCAAGATTTTCTCGTTGGCCTCCACGTCAATTTTCGTGAGGATGACCTTAAAAGAGCGCTGGCGACGGCAATCAGAATTAATCAGAACTCTGTCCACATCCGGACCAATCCCGTTCCCCCCAACTCACCCACGCTCCAGTCAAGGGCATGAGCACCACCAGAATCACGGCCACGGCACAGCACCTTTGCATCAACTCCTTGCGCATCTTGCTCCAACTATCCACTGAGACTAGCTCTTATTAAATTAGTCAGTTTTTATATGAATGCAATTAAAATTAGTCAGGCTCCACTGGGCGACAAAGCGCTCCGAACATTAGGCCCAGCGACGTGGTCGTGGTGAATTAAGTCAACTAAGTGGGTGGACTTTGGAAAAGCATTCAGCTGTTTCGAAACGTAGTCAATTTCCGATAAGATCGAACTCAAAATCGCCCAGCCCATTGGCATATAAATACTGCGTCGCCTAACACAGCCAGACAGTGAAGTCAGTTAACTGCAATTGGTCCATAATGTTGCTGTATACCGCGGTGCTGGTTACCGTCCTGATGGCCATGTCGCATGGCTCCCAGGCCGAGGTGAGAGCTCGTAGAGTGGCAGTAGCGCCCTGCCACTGGACTAATCCCTAGACTGGCCCTTATTCCAGAAAATGATGAGGCCCAAGTTCAAGGACATCAAGATCTGGAGCGACGAGAAGTTCGTCAGCCACAAGGTGGTCTACGACAACAGCGACCCCCATCTGAACTTCTCCATGGAGGTGCACCAGGAGCTGCACGACGTAGACATCCACCTGGAGTTGCGCATCAGCAACAAGCAGGACCCGTACTACACCACCAACCTGAACACCACCCTGAACGTCTGCCGCATCCTGGGCTTCGCCAACAAATCGCCCGTGGGGCGCTTCGTGCACGGATTCATCCGCGAGTTCGGCAACATCGTCGATAACTGCCCAATCGCCAAGGTGAGTGAAGCACTCCTGTCGGGGTTCCAGCTGACCCTCCCCCACTCTCGGTCACGTTCTAGGGCCGATACCATTGGCATCGCATTCATTTAAAACGCAATTTACAGGGCTCCTACTTCATCAACAAGTTCTGGTGGCCAGAGGACCCAACCACCGCCATGCTGCCCGAGCTAGAGTTCGAGATCGTCTGGCAAGCCCATCACCTCGACGCCAGCAAGAAGCGCACCCTGATCATGAATGACCACTTCGGTGGGGACTTCGTCGTCCAGGACGTCAATAATCTGAAGCCCGGCATCTTCGCTATGCTGCCCAAGATCGCCTAGAAGCTCTGCTGGGCTCATTCCTGCCCCGTAATGAGCAACCCAGCTTAGTCGCGTGTCCCAATGGTATTTACTTAATGTTATTCAGTGTCACTTGGTGTTACCTAGAAAGCAAGCAAATAAAGCTGCCGCAGAAAGAGCAAACCCATAATATTGTTTAGAGAACGCTATAGTCGAGTTCCCCGACTATCAGATACCCGTTATTCAGCTGCTGGGAATGGAAACGAGAAATTTCGACATTTTTCTGGCATATCGAAACAAAAAGAAATGAGATAGTCGAGTTTCCCGACTATCAGATACCCGTTATTCAGCTTTCGGAAGTGTGAACGAGAAATTTCAACATTTTCTGGAATATCGGTAGAAATTGGGAAAAAAATAATAATATTAAAATAAAAAATTTTAAAATTGTGGGCGTGACAGTTATTGCCCCGTTTGTGGGCGGTAGGCGCTACGTCTATATTTCTGGAAGCTGCATGCTTTATCTCAGCATTCTAACTTTTGTAGCTGAGATACGGACAGACGGGCAGACGGACGGACAGATGGGCAGACGTACGGAAAAACGAACATGGAGAGTTCGACTCGGCTACTGATCCGGATGAATAATATACATATATACTTTATATGGTCGGTAATGCTTCCTTCTGCCTGTTACATACTTTTTAACGAATCTAGTATACCCTTTTACCCTACGAGTAGCGGTTATAATTATACATTTACATTACATTATGCTTTTTACATATTTTTTAAAAACGTGTTATAATATATTCGTTGAGAGGTATGTAACAAGTAAAGGTTTTATAAAGGGTAAATATTCATGCCAAGGCGGATAGGTCCGTCTGTCCATCTGAGTGTCTGTCTGTCCTATAAAAGGCGGTTCCAGAAACTATAAAATGTAGAAAGTTGAGATTACTCTACGAGTAACGTGTATAACAAATGCAAATAGTTACTAGTACCAAAGTCGGATTGTTGAATTCGAGAAGAAAGATCGAAATCTACGTGTACATAAGTTTAAATTATGGATTTTCCAACATCCATTATTTACATAGTCTATCCAAATAGTAAAGTGACACCCGAGTTCTACACAAAGCCATAATCAGAATTTGCATACAAATTGCATTTTAATCTACTCCGAAAAATGATTTCAAAACATAACTGTCGGATAACTGCGCCATAACTTTAAAGTTGTACTAAGTAAAAATTTTCCTAAATTACAATTACTTATTTAATTGAACAAAGACATTGTTGTTTGATTTGCTATTTAAGTATTGAAAAAAGCTTCAAAAATGCTTGTGAAGCTCATATAATTGGACCAATTGTCAGATTCCCGCAAAACCATCAATGTCAATTAATTTTTTTATATTATTCACGTGCTGCTCTCGAATTTCGACACTCGTCGATTTCGTGTTTTTGAAGCATTTCCAAATTGAATTAAAATGGTACGGATTCGAGAGAAACAAGAGGCCCACAACATCAAATTATTATTCAATATAGTCGCAACGAAATGTTTGTGACTTGTGCCATGCCTTTTGTGATCGGACAGTGACAGTTTGCGAATTTTAAACCGCTTTTAGCTATTTTTTGCCCTATTGAAGGTGCCACTTGGTATGATTTATGCGAGTTTGAGTTTGCCGAGCTTTGGATTTGGTTATTTGGTCATTTGTTGATTGGCATATTGATGCAGTGTTGCTGTTATTGAGGAAGCCATAAAACGACAGTAACAATGAGGAATGCTAAAAAGTTCTCGGCGCCGCTGCCTCTGCCTCTGCCTCGTTATCTGACTCGATGATTCCCAATAAAATTTTCAATTTCAATTACCGGGTATAATAGGTCCGGAATGGAAATACAAATCTCTGGACAAATCTGCAGCAAACAACTTTTATCAATTACCCGACCAAAAGCCACCAAAAAGAGGTGTAAAAGGTAAATGTCTTTGTGCTAAGCTCCCGACTCTGGACCACGCTCAACCCAATCCGCACAATGCATTTGTTTTCACTTTGTTAAACTCGTGAAACTTTATCCCAGCCAAGAAAAAGTTCAGGGGTCAAGCCAGCGGCCATTTAAGCTCCATTAGACAGGCACACAAAGCGACATAACGCCCCAGAACCCAAGGAGCAGCCCGGTGTAAGGAAATTCATTGTCGAAGTCGCCCAGCTGTGCCTCCTTCCTCAGCTTCAAGGACCCCAAAGGGTTCGCCCCCTTATCTGATTACAGCCCAGTAAATCTTGAAAAATTGCCATTCAATGCTAACGTTTTAAAAACATTCATCAATGGGTTGGCTGCGACTCAGACCAAACAATGCGAATTTCTCTAACGCGCCTTTGAGGTTGCTGCACTGTCAAACAATAATATTTTCAGCTTGGTTGCGTGGTAATCCAAAAGCCGATTTCACCAATTTTTCTCTCAGTGAGCGTCAGAGCCGCACATATGCCACCGAGGCCAACAGCCCAGCTGAGGAGCACTCCAGCCCAGCCAGTCAAATCTTCCCATTTGGCTAATAAATCCTTGAGCAGCTTATGGAGCAACGTCTGCGCATAAATATTATGGCTGGCAACTGGTCAAGAGGAAGGACGCTGCCGAAGTACGAGGAATGGAACCGGATGGAACTCGGATACGTCTCGTCTGCTCCCCACATCCCACCATTTCGAAGCTACTTCCCTATGACAATTGAGCTGTGCATTCCGGACTCGCCTCGAACGTGTTAAGTAATACCCTATTCCAGATGGGAATATGCGTTCACGAGTAACCAACCACCGTCGGGTGCAATTTGTCTACATATTCTGTCATCTTTATCGGTTTCCGATTTCAAATATGCAGATTTTTCTTTGGTGAAAAAAACCGCAACATGTTCATGCTGTCACTTTAGGTATCATTACAAAGAAGTCCAATATTAGCTGAAATAAAAAGTAATATTAAAACTGGGTGCGTAATGCTTGTTATGGGTCTTGTAATAAGGAATAATTCGAAATAAGTCCTGGACCCTAGTTGGCTTATTTTTTAAGAGGAAACACAGAGCATTGAAACCTCGCTTTGTTTTTACAAGAAGTTCCCCTGTTCCCAACCGGAATTCTTGAGCTGACATTGGATTTCGGTTGACTGTCGTGTTGGTATGCCTGCTGTGGATTTCTTTGCCTTCTGCTATGGTTGTTGCTGATTTCTTAAGTATACTCGCTGCCCTAAAAGGATATGCAAATTGTTTGAATAGTAAAGGACATGCTAAACAATTTCAGAGCCTCGAGTCTCTAGTTTAACAAACAAAAAAGGAAACTAAGCTAAACAAAACATTTCTCTTTCCCAGCTGGCGAATGTATATATATTTTGGCTTTGCTTTCTGTTGCCGTTCATCATTGCTGCTTTTTGTTGCGCATTAAGTTGTTGCCAAAGGAACGGAGGACATTCACATAGCTGGACACAGTGGCTGAGGAAATGTTTTAGCATTTCACACTAGCCTGGTATAAATCACAGATCCCCATGTTATTAGGCATCCAATTCCTTTTTCCAATGTCCACGACACGGAACTGTTGCTCTGCTGTAGGTTTATTGAATTCGTTGATAATGCCAAGGGCAGTGTGGACACTTTGGGCGGAGAGCTTTTATTTTCGGGCAATAAATTTCCTGTTTCCAGAGCTTACTCCAAACAATTTCTAGCGCATTTAAATATTATACAAAGCCAATGCCCTGTTGCGGTGGAAGCGGGTTATTCTAACTAAGTTTTAATGTTCTCTGCAGTACAGAGCCAGATTATTTTATTTACTCACCTGAAACCACAATCAGGGCAAAAACAAGCTCCCATTTCTTGTCAAGATTTAGTAACTCCCAGTGTTTGAAAATGTTCGTTTAAGAGCGCTCGAAATCCAATACAAGTTTTCCAGAGCTTTAAGATTTCCTATGCTAAATAATTTTCAAGAAGGGGTTAGAGTCTGAAGGGAATACTCCTT